GGGTTGCTAAGAGTCACAAACGACTGGATAACACATACCAACAACAACACTGATTATAGAATTCAGTATCCTCTTGTTCTGTTCAGACAACTCCTTCTTGGTCTGTGAATAAGTTTTACATGAGCACAATTAAGTGGTCTGAGATTCTGATTCATCTCAATGTTTTACCTATAATTTGTTATGATCCACACAGTCAAATATCTTTGCACAGTCATTAAAATATAAATAAACATCTTTCTGGTATGCTCTGCTTTCAGTCAAGATTCATTTGATATTAGCAATGATATCCCTCACACCACAGCCTCTTGAATTTCTGGAAGTTCCTTGTCAATAAAGTGTTCCAGTAGGGGTTTTCGCTTTTCTTAAATATTTTTAATTGAGTTTTTCATTCATATATATTGTGTTTTATACAATATTTCATTTACATTGTTTTTCATACAATCATCCATATATATTCCATTATTCATTCTTTTTAAAAATCATTTCAATTGAATTTAAAAAAATGTTCCATTAGTTTTAAAATAATCTCTAGGATTATTTTACTTGCATGTGATATTAACAATGTTGTTATTGTTGTGCATTGTAGAATCAGAACTGACCCACAGCTGACCCTACTGTGTGTTTTCAGAGACAATAAATTTCATAGGTGAATATTGCCCTTCCTTCTCCTGCAAAGGAGCTGGTGGCCTCAAACTGCATGCATTCGGGATTAAAGTACAGCTTCTTTGTGACTAGGCAACCAGAGCTCCCAATATTAACAATAATGCTCAATAATTTCTACAGTCTGTTGGATCTTTTTTTTTTTAATAGGAACAAATATGGATATTTTCCAGTCGGCTGGCCAGCTAGCTGTCTTCTCAATTTCTTGGCATAATTATATCCAACGTTGCATCTTTTTGTTAGATGACACACCTCAATTACTATTTCATCAGTTTGGGGGGGAGCTTATGTTTTATCAATGCTTGCAATACGGCTTGAACTTCTTCCTTCATTGTCACTGGTTCTTGATCATACTTAACTTCCTGAAATGGTTCGGTGTTGACCAATTCTTTTAGTACAAAGACTTTTTATATTTTTTCCATCTTCTTTTAAAGCTTTCTGCATCATCAAGATTTAGGAAGTAGCATATGTTCAAGAACTAAGGCCTTGTTTTGAAAGATCAAATTGAGCTTTAAAATCGGAAAAGGTGTGTCAAGGTTGTATACTTTATCCATACCCACTCAATCTGTATGCTGAGTATATAATTCAAGAAGCTTGAGGACATGAAGAAGAATGTGGTATCAGCATTGGAGGAAGACTCAATAACAACCTGTGTTATACAGATGGAAAAACTGTGCTTGTGTAAAGCGCAGAAGACTTGAAGCACTTATTAAAGGCTATTGAAGCACTCATTTAAAAAACTACTGAAGACTACAGCCTTCAATATGGATTGCATTGCAACAGTCAAGAAACAAAAACCTCACTCTGGGCCAACAGGCAATATCATGATGTTTGGAGAAAAGTTTGAAATTGTCAACAACCTTATTTTATTTAGATCCACAATCAACATCCATAATAATCAAATGATGTAAAACAACGATGAGATATTATCTCACCCCAGCAAAAATAGTAAAGTTCAATTGTTGTTGTTGTTGGTTGTTATGTATCGTCGAGTCGTTTGCGACTCATTGCAACCCTATGCACAACAGCCCTAAACCCTGCTCTACCCTGCGCCAACCGCACTGCCTCCGACACACCCATCCCGATTACCCCAGTCACAGAATCATTCCATCTCATAAAGGGTCTTCCCCTCCTGCGCTGTCCCTCCACCCTCCCAAGCATGATGTCCCTCTC